TTGGGACCGGACCACAGTGTGCATATGAGGAGGGTGTGCACTTATAGAGGGTGCACTTATAGAGTTCTCACTGTAGTGATAATCAATGGCAATATATTGCGAAATTGTAAAGTAAGCTGATGTTACTTCAAAAATAAATGTCAAACAAATGCAAAATGTTTCAAAGTTGCTTAAGATAAATAGCCGCAATTGAAAAGCGTATAAGGGTAATGAACATGAATACGACAGGTCAAGTCCGATCGTATAAGGGTCGAGATTTTCCCTATATTATATATGACAAATTACATGAAGAGATACACAATAATCTGCTAACATTAATTTTTTAAGATTTGCACGTTAAAATCGTGTCCGTTACAATGAATTCGATTAACAATTTTTCCATTTACCTGTCAATAACGTTGAATGCGTGAAATTAATTAAACGGCGGCGTTGGCAGCAGACGGACGTAAAATTTATATAGTGTAACTTATTATCCACATATACATTGTAGTCCTCATCCGTAATTACACTTTTTACTCCCACCTTTCGTATCAGCAGAAATACTTCATTCTTTTCAACAGTAAACTTCTGAAAATCGGCTATATATAACTTTCGAGTCGCCGCAATACCTCTCTGGAACCGCTAATCCCAAAATTATCAGACAGTATGAACACGAAAACCGTCTATCGTATTCTGACATCCTCCTTGGGCTGGTTTGATGATTACTACTGTTTTGGGCCTCTAGTTCATGGAATGTCTTTATGCCAAACTCGAAGCAGAGCCTCTAAGACGAGCTGTAGTTCTATTTAAATTATATTGATCCTGACCGTTGCAATCTATCCAAGCGAGAAAACAATGTGTTTCAAGCAGTGAGAGATTAATAAAGAAACAGTTATCAGAGGGAATTTTTAGAAGTCTTACCATCTACCCATTCGCTCGGACCTGTCGGCAAATTTGTACTTTTCCTTACCAAAAAAACTTAATTTTCATATATACGTCTCGCCTTCCGAGCGATTTGTGCACTCGAGACTAGACGTTCAAGGGTGTTGTGCGTAAATCGCCCGAATTGCCGAACCATCCAATACCGTCCTTGAATAGGTTTTCATCTTCGGCAATATGTCAAGAGTTCTTTTGATGCCGAACTTGTTAAGGATGCTCGATAAAGTTCGACCTCACGTAATTCATGGTTCCCCTCTTGTAAAATATACATTTGAATTATTTAATTAATCCCTTAAACTGTTGCTAGGGGTTCGAAAACTTTTTCCTGTGTCCGACTTAAAAAAATAATATTACATCAACCAAATAACTCTACAGTTGTAAAAAACAAATTCCCGCTCCAACATATCTCACCGCCAACTACTCTTTCGCCTCTGCCGTTTCGAAGTCTTAATAACCATAATGTTTTTGCAATGCAACGAGCCGAATCGAGATCATCAATGTGTCTAGTCACTTGCGAACAATTCCTTTTGCAATCACATCCGCCGAAGGTATCACCAACATTGAAAATAATAATCCAAAGGGCCAAATAACGTAATCATGATTATAATCCAAAAGTTCGCCAAAAAGACAATACAACTCTTCTAACAACCGCATTAAACAGGGTAGTAACAGCTAGAAAATAACAATGTTCATAAACCAAGGGATATGGCATAACTTACTCGAGATCCGCAAGTTATAACATCTATAGAAAAAGACCGTAAAGTATTTTGAAATACGAGGCTCGGAAAAATGTTATCATCGGCGGGTGTTTGGGCGATCTGCTGACAAAATTGAAATAAGTTACAAAAAGGGAAAAGTCAAGTATAACGTAATTGGTTGTGACAATGTTTGAAGCGAGCGGCGAACCAAAAGTAAAAGGGAATATGGAGCCTGATGTTGCTTCTGATTACGTATTTATTTACCTCGTTAAAACAGCAGCCAGTTTGGAAAGCGTAATCGCAATGTCGTCGTCGAGTGACTGATAATCAAGGACAAAAGAGATGTTTGTTATTTAATATCGGCATTCTTCAGCTCAGGTCGACTCCAATATTCCGAAGAGCAATATGCATGCATGGCCGCAGGAAAGAATAGGTGATAATAAAAATACTTGGGAACGTGCAATTGAACGATTCTTCCAAGATGTGTATGCTTGAACCCGACGTTATACTGGTGAACAAATAGAAAATTGGTGCGTACATTACGTTATTGGGAACTGCACACATAAGATCTCGAGATCAAATTGTGTAACTGAAGACATACAGCACTATATTGATAATCAAGATTACGACGGCAACACTAAACTGTTACAGCCTTTCCTTATTGTAACTTTTTGGCGTTATGTGCGAGTATACCATGTTTACTATGTGATGTCACACAGCGAATTTTTAGCCAATAGAAAACAAGCAGTGAGAATTGTCGTCGCCTGGCACTAACCGCTCCGCTCTTCACGATGGCTGGATATGAGGTAGAGGGAGTAAACATTTTAATATGTATGCTAAAACGCTACATTAACCTACTTCTTAATACATGCATGCATGCTATTTTGTAGGAAACTGGAAGCTCGATTCCCTTTACATCTTACTCAATGAGTTTTAGCCCGACAGTCGACAATGTACCAGGCAACATTCTCACAAACGCTCCTTCAACGACATCTTTGATGAGTAACACCGTAAACCAAGGCAGTTTTCCGAAAGTTATACTTCAATTAATGGAACAAGGGCTTATGTCAGCAGATGAACAAATAAAAGAATTGTTGATGGACTTGCAATATTCTCGAAATATTTACACGCTCAAATACATTCTTGAACATAATGGAGATTCTGTGTCAGTGGAAATATTAGATATAGCTGTAAAAAGTCTTCGTTCTCAAGGGCTTGATGAAGTTTTCTCGGGAGAAACAGCTATTAAATTGGAATGGCAATTACGTATTATTATTACTATCCTGGAGCTGATGTGTCAAAGTAGGTGTCAATTTACACAGCCTTTTATTGACGGTATTAGACAGGCCACTTCCAAGTATAAGAATGTACATTCAAAGATTATGCAGAGTGGAGAAGAAACTTGGAAAACTGATCTTGTAAGATCTAATGAATTACACAAAACTGCCAACATATTCAAATGCAATTACAATAGCAGATATCTTCTCAAACTCATAAAAAATACATTAAATACAGTTTGCAGTGTTGAAAACCAGTATCAGACAAATGTTGATCGGGCCATTACAGTATTGAAAGGCCTACTTGCTGCTGTTCCTGGAATAGCCAAAGTTGGTATTAAATTGATTACAGGAGTTGAAGTTCCTCTTGGTGGTTTTGACATAGGGAGATCCTGGAAGTATTTCAAAGAAGCATTCCATATTGAACCATTAGGCAAACCATGGTATGCAACCTGGAGACAGCTAATGATATTACAAGATAGCCTTGATAAATGGTGTCAACAAAAAGAATCCAATATTTCAGTAAGCTTTAAAGAAAGAGTGCTTCTTGAGTATCTCTGGTATCATATTAGTTTATGTTATGCTCAAAATGCAGCAGAGAACCAAGATGTTAGTGATGAACTCTGGTTTGGCATTTTGGATATTATCCAGCAATTTGTACAGAAAACATATTCTACAACTACTCAGGCTATTTGTTATTACATTGCATTAGATTCTTTGAATAATGCTATTACTGAATTTATTCAATTTAAATCCATTGAAGTGTTATTGAGTCTTGAAATCAAAAATAGTGAATTATTTGTTACAACTCCTGATGATATTTCTAGTAGTGATGAGAAATTTATACCAAGATTGGTTAGCATGTACTATTATCTGAAAGAAAAGTTAGGAGTTGAATCAAAGATGGTTTTGAAGCACTCAATGGCAAGCAATCAAAACAGGAAACAACTTGACAAAAAAGGCAAAGGTGTTGAGAAAAACGCAATTGACTATATTGCAGAAGATTTAACATGCACTATTGTTTGTGAAACCGTGGGTGATTTCTTCCAACTCAACTGTCAACATATTATTAGCTCAAAGGCCCTCTTGTCATTGACTAATCTAGAGTGTCCTTATTGCAGGTGTGAAATTAAAAAGGATAAAGTGTTTTATTTGCCTCAACAGACAATCTACAACAATGTTCAGCATTATATTGCAGACACTGATTATTATCATCAAAATACTGATAATGCTAATATGGAAAGCAATTTTAATACAGATTCAAAAATATTTGATGAGTTGGATGACCTTAAAAAGCAAAAAAGAAAGAGCAGAACGAAAAAGTATGATGCTGAATCTACATTGAGTAGGCGTTCAATTTGGAAACCATTAAAACCACCAAATGTAGACAAATTACTTCAAAAAGCTGAAACTGCATATGAAAAGAATAAGTTAAAAAAGGCTTTGAATGTCTATACACAAATATTACAATTGGACCCCACAGATTATGTGGAACTGTGTAATAGAGCAAAAGTCAAGTTGGATATGAAAAGTTTTGAAAAGGCCCTGTTTGATATTGAGACAGCAATTGGAATAAACAAGGTTTACAATGATGCTTGGTATTTGAGGTTAATGGCACATATAAGTTTGGAGGACAGAAAAGAGGCTGAACAAGATATTGAACGCATTGGGCATCTAGATATGCAAACAAAGGCATATGACATAGTTTGTGAATTTGTAGACAAACTTGAGCACTTTGATGTGAAATGGTTTAAAGTTCTTGTGGATAGTTGTCTGCATCAAGCAATATATAGGTTAGATAACATCAATCAATGGCATTCACTGTGCAGCAATCAGTATGGAACTGATGATTATGCTAGCTGGCACAAGATTGCTGCAGCCTGGTATTACAAGTACAACAATACTTGGTATAATTACCGGCGTATAGACGCGTTTTTTGAAAAAATATACTATATGCACAAAAGTAAGTGATTGTACTTGATTGTATATTGTACTTGTACATACTAAATTACTTTATTTTATTGTTGTTATAAGCTTATTTAAAAGCACATTTTGTGCATGAAAGTCATATTGAAGACATCAGTGAATGCTACGAGTAAGTGATTATAATACTGTTTGGTACACAGAGACTGTATTATTATTAAATACTGATGTTTACTATTAATATTAATATTAATAGTCATGAGGGATATGTTTACCTCTATGGACGTAACAAAGTAAGGTTTACAATAATTCTAATGTTTTGCTATAGTGAGTATTAACTAATAAGCAAATACGTTAGGTAACAATACCAATATTCCGAGTACCCCCAAATAAATACAAACTCAGCATTTTGTTGAGGAATTACCGGAACTCCATGATGGTAACAATTGTAGTATCATATAAGAATTGTTTGATATAGTCTCAATTTATGATTAAAATAAACATTTCATTATAGGTAAAAACTTCAACTGAAGAAATACAATGTCAGACAGACATTGAACGTAACTACTATGACGAGTCTGAATACATTTTGCCATGTCCAGTTAATATTTCGTCTGAAGATGACATTTTTATAGAGGTTTCTATCAGTAAGGTAAATTTTGACTTGGTTATTGACTTGGTGTAAATGTATTCATTTATTCTAACTCTGTTTTAGTCCGATGTACGTCTTTATTGGGTTTGTTTATATTCGGAGGAGCAGTTAAATACTATGGAACGTAACTTGAAAATTGAGACATTTTCAACCGGTGTCAGAATGATTGATTATAAGCAATATTGCTACCCCGATATTACACATGCCATATATCGGTCAAGAGAAATTTCTCAAAATGATTTTCAAATGAGTGGACACAAAGTTGAGTATTTGTTTTGCGGTTGAACTTTTCTTTATTTTGATCTAATACAAAGCGTTGATTGAATGTCTAGTGAATAGTATAACACTATTATTTATAAACTGAGTAGTTTATGCATTCCCACTAATATAACAATAAATATTTTTAAATATTGGACGCAGATGCGAAATTTTATTTTCGTTTTATCTTAAATACACTTTGCTATCATTTTTTATCGTTCACGTTGTTGCTCGATCTGTTGCAGAAGTCCTAAATCTTATTCTGCGTCCGCAATCACAACCTTCAATTTAATACGAGTGCCGGAATTTTCACGTAACATGAGACTCGCAATAGAATTTGTCGTCTTTCCTTCATGCAACATTCAATAAAAATACGTATAAGTAAATGGTTTAGCTCGGCATATGTGTGCCTATCGAACGAACTCAATTCAATATCAAATGAGTAAACAGACCATATAAATGTACATACATGCATATTTTCTTCTATCCTCAATACAATCCAAGTAGATTTAGTTACTGTTGCTAGCCCACATCCGCATACAACCCCACACGAGACTGCATCAGAGCATTCGACACGCAGTGCAGATTTAATAGTAAAAGATTCTCTCAGCAGCCATGTAATAGCTTTGTAGTTGGTAATTTTTTTATCAGTCTGTTGCGATTCTATAGCATTCGGAGTATCTTCTTAACTACGGAGGTTCCGGTACTGGTGTACTGTGACGATTATGTCAAAAATTAACAAAGAATATGGTATGATCGTATGAAACGTTTCTCCCTCATCGTCTCGGGGAGAACAAAACAACTAAATAATGCCACCACTCATTATAACGCTATGGAAAAAATTACATTCAGATGAGATGGTTTGCCGCTATAGTCTATATTACAGTATTACATTAGCTCCAACAGATCAAAAATTATTTTTCGCAAAAGATTGTCTGACTTTGCAACAACTAAGAAAAAAGGAAAAAAAAATCTGATTACTTTATTCTTCTTACATAATAAGCTTCCGCTGTGTATTAAATTTCAACACCTTGATGAGCGTAGTAATTAGGAAAAACGGCCATGTATAGTGCTAATGCCAATTTCAGTCGCTCTCAGAAAATTTGTTCGAAACATTCAGAAAAATAAAATGTGCAAACAATAATATAAAATTGGATAAAGTAAACTCTGCAAATACGTTTTACAATGATCAAATTATTGCGCATTAGAAAAAAATATGTGAGAGATGTACAGGCTATTGAGCAAGTTTAGGTACATTGTTTATTCCGAAAATGCTGAAGAAAAACGTGACAGCACGAAATTGCAAGTCGGTCATTGGAAATCTTTTTCAGCTGAACTTTCTGACCGTTCCCGATAAGTAATAAAATCCCAATAAAATAAATATA